CTCTACCTACCGGAGTCCGCTCCAAAATGATGCCCCTTTCCGCTCCATTATGCTTTGACCGGTTAGGCTCGTATATGTGAATCAATCTGCGCAGGGAGGAGCCACGATGATGCTGGTCTCGTGCCAATCGCCGTTCTCTAGCTGTTTACTGGCTGCTGACATTAAGTGTGTCAAGCAAGTTCCTCGTGCTGCCAGTTACCTGGCGGGGCAGAATGTCGCCTAGTTGAGTTCAGAAGGGAGACTGTGAGGCCGGCTTTTTTCGTGTGTTGTCAATGAAAGGGGATGTTGTTGCAGCCTCTCAAAGCAATGATCAAACGCCCGTCTCTGTGGCAAGCACGTTTGCCACTTCCCACCTTAACGTCATGCAAGGATTGGGACTGTCATGATAACAAAGAGAGCTTCAACATACTCCGCGGGCCTTGCATTTGCAGTGCGGACCACAGGTGCAGGATTGCGGCCCATTGCACCCGCATTTTTTGCTCGAGCCACATTCGCATCCCATTCTGATTGCTATGAGCGTGGTCGGCTTGGATATTTGAGATAGCAACGGGGTCCGAATGTGTTCTGTTGAAGGTTAAGCTGATCCAAAGGGATGTGAGAAGGATCAAGGAGATGTGTGAGGCGAATTCACCTGAAAATACCTTTGATGAGGGCGTCACGTCATGGGAAGCTTGTCATCCCGTTCCGCTCGTTCTTCTCCTGTACTAGCCGAGGAACCTTCATAGCCTTGCATCAAATGCTATGTTATGTATCCCCCCGATAAGACGATGCGGGCTCATGTGGCTATCACACTGCTGGCCGAGATCTGTCAGCCGATTCAGTCGCTTGGAGCAAAAGATGGTAGACCACGGCCGTTCGGAACATATAGAGCTTGATGGCGAGGGGCGAAAGCCCGAGGACAGGTCGCTCATTGCCATTCCCGGATCCACCTCCCGTAGCTTGCACTGGTTCAAGCCAGCAAGAAGGCAGGGCACATAATTGTGGAGGGAGAAGATGTGGTGCTCATGTTGAGGTGAAGTTGATCGGAGGAGGTACAGAGTAAGTGGCGTCCGACCAAAGTGGCAAGGTCTCTTCCAGTGCCAAGACCGGAGGTAGTGGTGGCCCGCAGGCGCCGCCTTTGATACATGGAGTGATCGCTACGAATCTGCAGGACATTTTTCCCATTCGTCTCTGACAAACATCTTGTGTCCTGACCTACCAGCACATTCTTCTTTAATCCAATTCGCGATGGCTGGCATCTTCGAGGGCCCGCGCAGCGGTGGTACACTGTTTCTGGGTGGCCAGAAGATTAGTGGCCAGGATATTCGAGACCAAAATGTCCTCGCAACGCAGGCCATTGCAAATGTGGTCAAATCCTCGTTTGGCCCCTCCGGCCTGGACAAGATGATGGTAGACGACATCGGGGACGTCACGGTCACCAATGACGGCGCAACAATCCTCAGCTTGCTCGACGTTGAGCACCCGGCCGGGAAAATTCTGGTCGATTTGGCTCAACAGCAAGACAAAGAGGTGGGAGATGGCACCACATCCGTTGTGCTCCTTGCGGCCGAACTCCTTCGACGAGCGAACGATCTTATGAAGAACCAAATCAGCCCTGCCGTTATTATTACCGGTTACCGCCTGGCACTGCGAGAGGCTGTCAAATACATGCAGGAAAACATCAGCACGAAAGTAGAAACCCTTGGAAGAGAAAGCCTGGTAAACATTGCCAAGACGTCAATGTCAAGCAAGATAATTGGCGCCGATGCGGACTTCTTTGGTAATATGGTAGTAGATGCAATGCTGGCGGTCAAGTCGATCAATCCACAGAAAAATGAAGTCAAGTATCCGGTCAAAGCCGTCAACATCCTCAAAGCACACGGCAAGAGTGCGACAGAATCAATGCTGGTCAAGGGCTATGCATTGAACTGCACAGTCGCATCCCAAGCCATGAAAACGAGAATTACAGACGCAAAGATTGCTTGCCTTGACATGAACCTACAAAAAGAACGGATGAAGCTCGGGGTGCAAATCACCGTCGAAGACCCCCAACAACTGGAAAAGATACGAGAGAGAGAAGCCGGCATCGTCCTCGAAAGAGTGGAAATGATCCTGAAGGCTGGGGCAAACGTGGTGCTAACCACAAAAGGCATTGATGACCTAGTCCTCAAGTTGTTCGTGGAACGTGGCTGCATGGCTGTGCGGAGGTGTAAGAAAGAAGACCTGAGACGGATAGCAAAGGCGACGGGGGCGACTCTCGTCAGCACTCTGTCTGATCTGAATGGAGACGAGAAATTCGAGAAAGAATTGCTGGGGTATGCGGAGGAAGTGGTTCAAGAACGCATATCGGATGATGAGTGCATCCTTGTGAAAGGAACCAAAGCTTTTTCGTCGGCATCCATCATCCTCCGGGGATCGAACGACTATCAACTTGACGAGATGGAACGATCTGTTCACGATTCACTGTCCGCCGTCAAACGAACACTGGAGTCTGGTAGTATCGTACCCGGAGGTGGTGCCGTGGAGACGGCCTTACACATTTACCTCGAAGAATTTGCTATGACCGTTTCGTCGCGGGAACAACTGGCAATCGGGGAATTTTCGCAATCCCTTCTGATTGTTCCGAAAACCTTGGCCGTCAATGCGGCAAAGGATGCTTCGGACCTTGTCGCTCAGCTACGCGTGCGCCACGCTTTGAGCCAGAGAGTCCAAGAAGGGGACGCCAACGAGAGGGAAAGGGACATTGCCAAAAAGCGACAATACAAGAATTACGGCTTAGATCTGATGCGGGGCAAGGTTGTCGATGTCGTCAAGATGGGTGTCTTGGAGCCCAGCATGAGCAAGGTGAAGCAGCTCAAGAGCGCCGTGGAAGCATGCATTAGTATCATCAGGATTGATACCCTGATCATACTTGACGCTCCTGAGCCACACGGAGAAGACGATGGTCATGGGCATTGAATGGGGGATAGAACCTACATTTGCCACCTGACATCGTGCAGCGTAATGCGACGACCTGGATCGGCCTTGACAGCGAGACTCGACAGTGTATCCAGCCTCAAAATGAAACACATTCACCGCCTCAACGAAAGGTTGACAGGAACTTTCCTGATGCTGCAAAGAGAAGAGCAGCACGTCGCAGCTCAGATTTAGGTAGTACAAGCAGAGGAGATTTTGAGAGTCTGCAGGACGAGCGATGATGCTTTACGATGACGTTCTGGTCATGCACGGGCGTGTCCAGCAATGAAGGCTACGAGCCACGATTGATGCGGCCGTGACGAGAAGGGCAGAAGTGAGAGAAGCAAGGAAGTCACGCAAAACAGAGCAGGAGATCAGCGCGATGCATCGCTGACTCTTGTCTCTTGCGTCTTCCACACACATGAGCTTGCTCCGTAGACGGTAAACAAATGAACGAATGCCTCTTGCTTTGGAGATCTGGCTTTTGGATGATATTATTACTACCAGCTTCACATCAAACAAGCCGAAATGCTCCGTCTGTGCCAAGGTCGCGCAATTGTTCCCGAGTCTGCTCCGTACAAATAGGTTAAGTGTACGGAGTAAGTTCGACCAACTTCGAGGCGTGCCATTCTTTTCGCCTTCGATGCCTTTGCTCTTCGTCTCTATCTTTCATTCCGACAACTAGAGAGAGCCCCCGCCCGGATTTGAAACAAGATGAAGCATGCTAGAAACACGAGGCAAACTCTACTGGTGGCCACTGCCCCAGTATCTACCCAGCCTCGTCACCTCGGAATGAGACCACCGACCCGCGGACGATGGCACAGCCTGGATGATTATTATACTGCTGGAGGAGGGCAATGGCAACGCATACTGCTTGCAAAAGTAAATGCATGGAGAAGCCGGCACTATCAAGAAAGAAAATGTCAATGTTGATCTTCCGATGACGGATACCCCGGGAAGAACGGAGAGCTTCGGGATGCTGTGTTAGAACAGCCACGCACCTATTGACCCATATTGATAGAGGTAGGTCTCCATATGGTCAGCACGATGTTGCAGCGACGGTGGTCTACCACTCGGGTCTTTCACATCTCAAGCAACAAAAAGGTCCACTGCAGTCGCAAGGTCTGCCTCACCAGCACCCATTGCCCTTCCCCCGGAAGACCTTGGGATTTCGTGTTACCGGTCGGCTTCGGGAACGAATGCTCGAAATCCATGGCGGAAGAGGCGAGTTCCTGTCTTGAAACACTTCGCCATCCGCTCCTCCCCCCTTGACTTGACGCCGACGGACGAGGTAGGAAGCCTGACAAGGAACAGGAGGGCATCGGCAAAGAACTTGCTACTCATAGGAGTACGCAGTAACTTGATATGTTGACGTCTTCCTCGAGGAGGCGTAGTGTTCTGCAAGTACGCTAAGCGGTAGGTCGGTATAGTATTGATGTTGAACCTCCCGCCTGCCGCGTTCCTAGTCACCCTGCTTTTCTTGTTTTAGTACGACGGTCTCCTGGCACCCGCAGCTCCGAACCCGGATCGCCATACACGACATTAGCTGAAAAAGATTGAACTTCCATTATGCTGCTCAACAAGCTCTCAATTTCGTGATCGGCTGCATGCCTGGTCATGAGAATTCTGACTGAGGATGCTGATATAGTCAGAAGACTAGGACTGGACATCCAGGCGAACCTGCAAGCCCATTTAAGCAGGTAGGAGGGCACAAAAGCTTCCCATCAATGGAGCCGATGGCTTGATGATGCTAGCAGGTCGCCTCTGCTGCACTAGCTGAGTCACCATGTGTCAGCAATCAATTGGGGTCCCTCGAGACGACGAGAACGATACCCTGATCTTCGACGGTTGAGGCGGCGAGTGGCCAGATTATCATCCCCTTTCGACGTCCGGACAAAGACCGGTTCTAGCTTCAGACGAGGCTTGATGCATTCACGCAACCACTTCACGTCCTCCAATGTTAATTCGTGCGCGTGAGAATATTCAAGACATATATTCTGGAGGCTAGATACTTTGCCTTGTCCAAGCTCTCTCAGCACGCTCAGACGAGTCTGCCGTCCTCCTCCATGCCTAAAAACTTGGGCTCCTTCCAACAGGTGTCGCATCCAAGTCTAGGATCTTTGCCCAAAGGACAACCCGCTGCTCATGAACCCCCGCTACCGACCTTATTGGGTATAACGAGCAGCAACAGCACAGAGACTAGTGGCATTTACTCCACCTTGACACCAAGTTGGAGTATCGTGGCTTCGACCGATCAGCCGTCCGCACCGTTATCTGACTCTCAGTTTGAGGGCGACTCTCTTCGGCGACCGGCCACCCTTCCGGCACTGGGGCGGCATTATGGTGGCTCATTCTACCTTGGACCTGCTCCTCCCATTGAGAGGTCTGCTACAGACTCCTCAGGTGCTTCTGATGTTGCTCATTTGTATCAAACACATTCAACCTCGTCACGGCACAACAAACTGGACATATCAAGCAATTGGGGGCAAATACCGGATGAGATAGCAATACCCGCATCAGACAGCTTCGCAAGAAAGTTCGTCAATAGTGAGGCAGACGTTGTAGAGGCATCTTGGGGCCAACAAGGCACTTCGATGCCACCGCCTGAGACCGTCAGCGCACTTCCCGTCGCGTTTGTATCGGTAGTCCCAGAGCCAGCCAGGGGCAATAAATCATCACGGACACATACATCAGTCGAAATGGAGCAGGCGAAAGGAAAACATAGAAGAGTCGATAGCAAGGATGATGATCTTGGAGAGTCGTCAAGAATCCCTGCCAATATCAAAAAGAAAAGGAAGCCTCAGTCCGTGACGTCACATTCCAGAGCTGCCAGGACAAGTCAACGGCCTGGTCGGAAGTACGAAATGCAATGGCGCCTTGGTCAGGCACCGGCAGCCGGTATCAGAGACGCAAGAGAAGAGTCAAACTTTGAACGGGTGCTTACTGCTATTTCCAGCTATCACCAAGGCAATGCGGCTGGTATTTGGAAGACTGCCATGCTTCAAAATGCTTCTGAATTTGATGGAAATGGTCTCACGGAAGCTATTTCAGTCTCTATTATGCTAGCTGCAGGGTTCATTGCTGCCGGTCAATCTGAGAGTGCAAGCCAAATTCTGAACACGACTTTGCCGCTTGCTAGAATCATGCTACTCAGTCAGCACCCCCAGCTCTGCTTTTACCTCACCGAGATTAGCATGGACACTTCGAAGACTGTGGTTGGAAACCTTCGGGCGTCATGGAAGAATTATCTGACACCACTTGCCGTCAACGTTCTAGGGGTGCGTCACCCTATCTCTATTCTGCTCCAGACGCCTTTGACGGTCGAACAGAAGGTGAGAATGCGAAAAGTGGGACAAAGAATAGCACATGAGGAGCACATCCGAGCCTTCGGCACCCACTCATATCAAACCATGCTGCACCTCTGGTACTGGGCTCGACTCACCGCCTCATCAGGCGACGTTGCGGAATCCATCCGAATGCTCGAAAACTTGACTCAGGCTTGGGAACAGGTCTACTCGACCAATTCAGCTGTGTCAATCGCTGCCATCGTCGAGCAGGCCAGAGTGATGCTCGCATCTGGAGACGCCAGCGTAAAGGTTGAATGCATCCTTGGTGACGCGCTTCGACGGAATGACGTGCTTTCCTCGGGCCAGTCTCTGCAGCCGCAGTTCATGGACGCGGCCGAGTTAAGGTTACGAAAGAGTAGCCTCATCTTCTCTCGGTTAGCGGCTTTTCGCTGTCTGGGACGTTTGCACCTCATGAGAAGCAATCTCGGCAACGCAATATGCTGTTTTCGACAAGCGCTGGACATAGCCGAATCGAACTTGACGGAAGCATCTTCAGTGAGGAAGATGTGCAAGACCGATCTGGCCGCCGCAAAAATGTTGGAACTCGAGCAATCCATGGGTGGCTTGACACTGACGGACCCGATGAGCAGACTTCCTCCCCTTACCAGCATAATTCCTTTCTCCCCTGTGGAAATGACTGGGACACGGTAGTATGAAAAGCCAATGCTGCTTACAAGCGTCCAAGACAGCAAGTCGGCTAGGTGAATGCCTGGCTGTATTTTGATTGAGAAGCCATCTTCGCCTTGGATGAGCCTCGCTAAGCAGGTTCATGGTGAGGTTCCTTCCCTCTCGTTTCTACTTCATACTACCCAACCACCATCCCAGCTCAATTCCTAACCTCGCGGGCTGATCATACATCACCAAATGACCCGCTCCTTCGATATCCACTAGGTCCTTGGCACCCAACTTGCCCTTCAGCCTCGTTGCTGTCTCCACAGGAATCCACCTATCTTCTTTTCCCCAGATTATCCTCACTGGCATTTTCTTCCCAACCTCATGGTATCTGCCTTCGACCTCCGCTGTGCTGCGACTGTTGGCCTGCACCATCTGCCTGACAAATCCTTTCCTCCCTTCTTCGCTGACGATCCATGGCCTCTTCAGCATTTCCATGGTTTCTCTATCCAACTCACAATACGCCGCGTCTCGGATATACGCCTCTACGACGCCTTCAAACACCGGCCCAGTCAGAGCTGTAAATACCCGCACATTCTCCGCCACCATTTTGAACAGAGGGTGTCCGAATGGCCCGATTGCCACTACATCAATCAGGCACAAACTGCGGTAGTCACACCCATGCAGCAGATGTGCCCGCAAAGCCATCAAGCCTCCATGGTCATGTGCAACCACATGTGCCTTAGGACCCCGCCAGTCCTGCTCCCAGGATCTGTAGAGTGCAGCGAACACCTCCGACTGTTGTGCAAGGTCTGCGTCCAGCGCAACTCCCGCGCTGATAACGCCTTCTTTGCCGGGGAGAGGCATGCCGAGGGGACTGTCGCCGAAACCGGGGTTGTCGAAGAGGTAGACGTGGAAATACCGGGCGAGTGAGTGTGCGTAGGCGTGCCAGAGGCGCGAGGACCATGGTGTGCCGTGCACAAAGATTAATGGTTGCGAAGCCGCGTCGCCTAGAGACGTCCAGTGGATATGGTAGTCGTAGACGGCGGTGGAGTGGTGGAAAGTCTGGGTGAGTTCGATCGTGGACGACGATGTTGATGATGATGAGACATCCATATTTGTGCGGTATGTTGTTGAAAATAGTGTGTGTGCAAACTGCGACACTCGATTGAACTCAAGACTTGGATATATGTAGACGATATAGTGGCCCTGTGAAGCCAAGAACCAGCGTTGTCAGGGCTATATCTCAACCAGCACGGACTCCAGACTACGAGCACATAGCTATGATGTAGTCCCCCTGATGCCTCTCCGCCAACATCTGCATCGGCGTATACGGCTTACAAAGCGGGTTGTGTGGGGAAGTGCTTGAGACATTGCGTCAGTCTAGCCACTTTCGTTAATTATTTGCTTGGATAGGGTGTATCCATTAACAGGATATCATCAGGAAAGCAGAATTCCAACGAAAGGGGCCATAGTTGGAGACGAGTTTGTTCATCAGGTAGCAGGTCAACCAAGAAGCTGCTGAACCAGGAAAGCAGAATGGTTAGCTAGGGAATGCCGCAGTACCATAGCGCTGATAGCAAATCAAACAGTTGAAGATACTACTTACTCTAGCTTTACAGTATTTCAGCATCAAATAGTGGCGGGGAAATTTGCCTGTGGTTATAACCCTCAGCCTTGCAGCCTTGCGGCCCCTTACGAGGCTGAGGTTCGGCGATTTTTCCAGCCTCGTGTTATTTCCCCGCTGCGGGACATTTTCTCAATTGACGAACAATTCCATCTACACACCGAGACACCTTATTCACCGCAACATCCCCACCAAACCATTGCTAAGATGGTCGTCGAAATAATAACCACAATCTCACCCACAACCAACGAACCGATCCTAACCCGGCACGGCAAGTCACCAGAAGAAATCCTGCGTCTTGGAACCACCGCGCAGAGCGCCTTCAAGTCTTACCGCAAATCCCACTCATCCCTCGAATCTCGGCAGCAAATCATCTCAAAAGCCCTTAATTTGCTGTCGGAAAGACAAGATGCCCTCGCCCGCGAACTCACCGAGCAAATGGGTCGACCCATCTCGTACACCGCCAAAGAAATCACCACCGCCGTCAAGAGAGCGGAGTACATGAATAAAGTCGCGCCCGAGATTCTCGAGCGGAACGCAACTATTCCTGGTGAACAGGAACAAGGCTTCAAGCGATACGTCACGAGGAAAGAACCTGTGGGCGTCGTTCTGGTCATCTTCGCGTGGAATTATCCCTACTTGATTCTGGTGAACAGCTTGATACCGGCGCTGTTGGCCGGGTGCGCTGTGATATTGAAGCCGAGTCCACAGACGCCAACCATTGTGGAGCATATCGTCGATATATTTGATGCTGCGGGTCTGCCTCAGAAAGTAATTCAATACTTGCATTGCGGAAGTCCGACGGATTTAAAGCCATTGATCCTGTCACCAGATGTCAACCATATTTGCTTCACAGGATCGGTGGAGGCGGGGATAGCCATCCAGACACTTGCGGCTTCTCGCGTGTCTTGTTCCGTAGGGCTAGAACTCGGTGGGAAAGATCCTGCCTATATTCGCCCGGACGTTGACGCAGCTTGGGCGGCGGAGGAGATTGTGGATGGTGCAATATTCAATTCAGGACAATCATGCTGCGCCATTGAACGTGTCTACGTCCACGCCGACATCTACGATTCATTCCTGAAGGAAGTCAAGAAAGTCCTCGAGGGATACAGAGTAGGTGATCCCCTCGAAAAGTCTACACACGTCGGGCCCGTCGTCTCCAAAAGATCCAAGGAAGCAATCGAGAAACAAGTTGCGGATGCCGTTGCCGCTGGAGCCGTGGACCAGACACCTCACAACGAAACCTTCAAATCACCAGCCGGGCCCAAGGAGGGCAACTGGGTGGCGCCCGTCCTCCTCACCAACGTGAATCACAGCATGTCAATCATGCGCGACGAGACATTCGGTCCCGTCATCCCTCTCCAGAAGGTATCTGGCGACGAGGAGGCGATCGCCCTGATGAACGACTCGCAGTTCGGACTTACAGCATCGATATGGACAATGGATACACAAAGGGGTGAAGAGCTGTGTGGGTTGGTCCAGGCGGGCACGGTGTTTGTGAACCGAGCTGATTTTCCGAGCCCGGACCTCGCGTGGACGGGGTGGAAGGATAGCGGAAGAGGCGTGACGTTGAGCAAGTTGGGATTTGAGCAGTTTGTCAAGGTCAAGAGTTTCCATGTCAAGAACTACCCCAAGTGAGGCGGATGGAATTGATTTATGGGATATGAGACCAGCATGGTTCGATCGTACGGCCAGCCAGCGAGATAGGTATGGAATAGAGGGGATAAGGCAGATAGACAAAAGGGAAGCGGGCGCAGGCCGGCAGGATCTTGAAAACTTTCTCAGTCACCCACGAGGAGTATCTATCATTGTAGAGGTCCCTCTACCTGACTTGAACCCGCCTGAATGATATGCGCGCACAACGAACGAAGTAAAGTCAAGAGACGTCCCAGCCTAAGAACGCGTCGCTGATGCTTCAAAAATCTCCCCTCTAAAACATTTCGCTATGTATGTATCCTGATGGAGATCAAGCTCGGATAGTTGAAAGTCCAGATCCAGCAGAAGAATGCAGTGCCTCCTCCAGAAAAACCCTGCTCATATTTCTGTCACAGACAGCGCAGCAAGTCCCGGCGCCGAAAACCAAGTACCTCGAGGTCGTGAAATGTCAATCATCATCAATGTCAACATTGATGGCGTCCGGATTCGCAGCCACTGCCGGCTTAGATTTGCTTTCCGTCTCGTCGGTTTGCTTCGGGGGTGGTCGATTCCCACCTTCAGGCCCTGTGCTCGCCGCGACAAAGCCGACCGGCGCCCTCGCCTGTCTTTCCAATGCGGCCATTGCATCCTGCACCTCCCCTTCTCGCTGCTCAGCTCCTGCGCCCTCCCCTTCACTAGCTGCCGCCGCCCTCGCAACTGCCTGACTCGCGATGAATGACACATCCGTGTTGAATTGGGCTTCCACCGACCTCTTAATCCTAAGCATCTCTTCGTAGGTGTCCTCGTTCCCATGGTTCAACTCGAAATTCTCCCACGTCTTCCAAAACTCTTTATCTACTCTTGGATCTGCGAACTGGGATGCATGACCATATATGGCTCTCGCGCGGTCGATTTCTTGTAGTTTAATCTCCAACTTTGCGAATTTGAGACACATTATTTTTGCTTCTTTGTCGGGAAGGGTGGCGATGGCGAGCTCGTAGATGGGGCGGGTAGATGGTTCGTCAAAGCGTGCGGCTGATCTGGTGATATAGAACTCGAACATGGATAGACGGTCTTCGTCGCTTACGGCACGGGTGGCGCGCTCGTAGATTCGCATTGCTGAACGAGCAAACCCGTCGCGTTCCTCTAGATCGCCGTACATAAGATAGATTGGTTTGGCGAATTGGGGAGGGCATTGTTCCAGAGCCTGTTCGAACAAATCTCTGAGGCGTTCCATACCAATCTTGCGGTTGACGGCCTTTGTAAGGTAGAGGTTCCACAATTCGAATGCGATTGGATAAGTGAATACATCGAGACCCCGTTCGTAGACTCTGAAGGATTCTTCAAAGAACCCATGTTCTTCCAGGAGGTTTGCATAGTTGACGACTGTTTGTGGGGTGGCGATCCGCAGCTCGAAGATGCGGTCATAGACCGCTCGAGTCTCATCGAGGGAACCGACTGATTCAACGAGATCCACGTAGAACGACCAGACTTTCCAGGATTTGTGCACACGTTGTTGCGGAGAGAGGGTTTCATCGAAGTAGTCGACCGTGCTCCGTTTAGGAGCTTTGGTAGCCGTAGCCATAACTTTCATGGCCCCGTCGAAGTTTTCATTCCTCAACTCCATCTCAGCCCAGCCAATCCAGGTGTCGGCAAGTTCGGCTACGGATTTGTATGGCACCTTAACTGCCTTGTCGAGAATGATCCGTGCTGTGTCCAGATCGCCAGCTTCTTCGTAGAATTTGGCGTAATTCAACCACAATTCATGGAATTTGCCGACAGCCTTTTTCGGTGCGACTGCTGCGATTGCATCTGTGTATGTCTGAACAATTTCTCGTTTGTTGTCGTTCCACAGGGCAACCCGTTTCTCCCACTCGACGACATTGTTTGGATTCTGCCGCAGTAAGACATCGTTGATCAAGAATGGTCTGCGGTCCATCAGATGTTCAAACCGCATCATTTTCAGGTCGAGATCAAAATCCTTTTCAGGGTCGACGATGCCTTTGGCTGCACGGGCAGAAGCAGCATCCATTAGGCTGGATAATATAGACTCTTCAAACTCGACATATGCGTCAAAGATCATCGTAAAATCACGCACCGTCATCACGGTGGTAATGGCTTCCTCAAAAATATCTCTCGCCATCTCAAAATCTCTACGGGTGATCCAGTAGGTTGCCAGTCCTGCCCACAGTTTGCCGCGTTGGTCGGCAAATCGTTCTATACCGCTTCGGATAATGGTATCAGGATCGAAACCAGAAACCGAGCTATCGCCGATTTCTCGAGCCTTGTTGACCATGAGCTCTACCATCTCATTCCACAGCTGGAATTCGCTTTTGATGTGCTTTGATATGAACTTGGGGTTGTTCAATATCTGTATGTATCTTTTCACTGCTTCCAGGTAGTGACCGGTCTCGATCAGTAGATCGATATAGTCTTCCATGTCTTCTGGGTGCACTTGGACATAGCGAGCCCATATCTTGACTGCGGTCTCTCCCCCGGCTGAATTCGCAAAGGATTTGTAGAGTTTCCAAATCCTGTTGTGTTGAGAAACAGGTAAAGCCCGGAGCGCCCGGTCAAAGGTCCTTCGAGTTTTGGTGACATACGGTTGTCGCAGGAGGAAGGTCAGATACATCTCCCAGATGACGGGCATCTTGTTCAACAAGATGAGGGCTCTTTCAAACAGAGCATTGACTTTGTTGAACTCTGCCCTGTATTTGACCGGGTTTTTCTTTTTCAGGTGCTTGATTCGGAATTCCAGATACATTTTCCACAACTTGTATGATCGCGGTAATTGTATGCAAGCCCTCTCTTGTACGAATGCCTGCTCGTGGATCGTGCCATTGCGCATTTTGAA